CTTAAAAATAGAAAATAAAAAATTAAAGTCAATCTGTTCTTTTATTATCTAACCAAGAAATGTAACATTGTTAAATTTAGTATAATTAAAACGAGTGTACCTGAGAAATCTATTTACTTTACACTACTTTACACTATTTACTTTACACTATATTTATCATTAATGTTTTACTGTTTGTGGCCTGCAAAATACAACTGTACATGATAAATAATCTTTTTATCTAAGCCTAGTTGTTATCTTAGTCCCTCAAATTTCTATTAGCAATTTTCTCTAGGAATTTCACTATATTCATAGATAATCTTGTTTCTCAAACAACATATATTTAGTTGTGTATAAAGGGGGACTAGAAAGACTATCTATTGTACATACAGTAAACAGTACACATTTTCTTATTTCCATTCATTTATTTTTCCATAAATGATTAAGCCTTGTTTCTGTAATTAGTTCAATGAATAGGGTGTTCAGTGATGCTGTGTCATTTGGACTAAACGTGTTATATGGGTCCTATTGTTGTACAAGGTAATAAGCTGTTCCACATACAAAATGCAAGACACAGAGTTCAGGCAAACGTCCATCCATTTTCTAACTGCTTCTTCCAAGCCTAACCCCAGAACCAATGGGCACAAGCAAGATAAACCCTGAAAGGGACAAAACGAACAAACACACTCACACCAGGGGCAGTGTTCCCAGAAGCATATTAACTTACAGTACTAGTATGTCTTTGGACTGTGAAAGGAAACCAGATAACCCAGAGGAAACCTACATGAACACAAGAAAAGCATATAAACTCCCTTGGAGACATTACTGCTCTTTTTAGCTAATGGCTTTCAAAATTGTTATAAGGAAGTGTTATTATGCCACTTCAAATGAAATAAATGTAGGTTACAGGTGAATAAAACTTTAATGTAATGTTTTTTTAGATACTGTTTAGGCTTGCCCTAGTTTAAACATTTACCTTCAAGTTGCTCACAGCATTGGAGCTCAAGAGAATCTACAGTTATCTCAGTGTGTTAAATACTAGAGGAAACTTTGAAATTATTTATCTTTTCAAACATTGATTAATTTAATGAGTTGTGAAGCTGATAGTGCTACCATTTAATAGGGAGACAGGTTTGATATGGAGCTTGTATGTTTGATTTCACAGGTTGTTGGTATGGGGTGTAGCGGCAATGCTTGTTAAGACAGAATTAAGTGTTGCTGTGCTTTCCCAAATGAGGCCTCTCTCTTCTCTCTTCATCTCTGATGCTCATTAAACTTTCAGCTAACGAACGAGCTGAAGTTCCTCCAGGTAAAAACAGGCAACACAGAGAGCCTGAAGAAAATTCTAAAGACTATTCTAAGGAGAATTCTAAGGACAATTCCAGGGCAGGACGGCCCAGGAGCAGAAAGGCTCCCAAGGGCAGGACATTCTTGCAGCGTGCCTCCTGACCATCCTGAGACTCAGCCCGGACAACCATGGAACGGCCAGTGTGTCCGAGTGCCAGAACTTTCCTCTGAGAGTCTGGAGCGGAGGTTGCCAGAGGGTAACTTGAGGATCCACCCGAGGTTAGCATCAGCAGCAAACCTCATGAACAGGTCGGAACTGTGGACAGCTGAATCACTATTCAGAACTGGCGCTTCATCAGGAACGAATCGGTCCTCTTCTTGACTTGCTGGGACCCACAGTCATCTTTTCTCCTGTGCACAAACTTTGCTAGTTAAAGCCAACACTAACTAGCTGGTCAGTGAGCATCAGCAGCGCACCGTCGCAAGCCGCACAGCACAGCCTGGCACGGAGCCAGAGAGCCCAGCCCGCAGGAGATCTGAATCCCCAGAGATTGGATGAGTATTCAACATTCTGCATTACCACTCGAGAATTCCATTGTTACCTCAACCTGAGTTGATATCAATTTAATTCCTAAGAGTTATGTACTTGTTTTGAGTATCCAATGTAGAAGTTATAACCAAGTTCATTTACGAAAATTTTTAAATGAATGATATACTGAACGTATGTCCTCTTGATATATGTAACTCTTCGTAACTGATTGATTATATACCTTTTGTATTCTGATAACCCTCTCAATAAGATCTGTTAGGTTTACATGCATATTCTATGTATTAATAAATGTATCCTCATGTATTAGTACCTGTGTGTGTGCGTTGTTTGAGTTATATCGCAAGGTTGGATTCTAAAGCCATCAAAATAATCATTTTGTGATTTAAGGCTTCAATTAATAATTGTCCCCGTAAATGCCCAAATCCTACAGAACTGGTGCCTCGTGAGAACACACTACAGGGGATTGACAGCATTTTGGGTGAGTTTTCCTAATGTTCAGGCTTTTGTTCCTTCAGTCCTGCATGACAGAGCCAAAGATTTTGTGCAGTATGTACCTCTTTGTAAATCACAATCTGATGGATTTGTCTGAAGCTATTGAATTAGAGTGCTTGATTAAATTTAGGGAAAGAAAAAAATCCTTAGCATCCTTCAAAATAAAATACTGCTTCCTCCCATCATTGTCCTTTCAGCAGTTTTTTGACTCATTTAATCTAGTAAAGGGATCGTTTCTTCAGCTTCATCTACTGTACATGACCAATCTTTTGTTCCAGCAATAATGCTAGTTGGCACCAGATTTGTGCCTAATTCACTCTCATGTACTATTGGATTTCTCTGAAGCTATTGAATAGTTTGTTATATACACATTTTATTCATATAGACCTATCTAGTCCATCTAGTTAATTGCACCTCAACTAAAATAAACACAGATTACAGAAGATGGCAGTAAAAGGAAAGAGGCATCTACAGGTAGTGTACATCAAAAGGAGTTCTGAAGTGCAGTCATGAAAACCTGTGCAGATACCTTGTGGTATGCTGTCTATTGCACAATATAGTTCTCAACAGTGCTTACAAAAAGACAAAAAAGTTTCATCTTCTTCTCTCACTATCTGCTACAATGGGAGTCAGCACAAATATTGATTACAATGCCAGAAAATCTGAGAAGTCTGCCTTTAAAGATGTCAAGCAAAGGAGAATGGCTGACAGGAGATTCTTAGTACGGGCACAGTGCTAGGAATAGTAATAAATGCCATCTTTATTTTATTTGGTTATTTTGATTTCACCACCTGTAAATTTGTACAGTATTACTGCAGAGCTTGATATCTATTTATAATGTGTTTTTGGTATAAAAATAATCTCTTTTACTTTTTATAATTGTACAAAATTCAGTCTCTGCTACATTTTGTTGTACATTTGTGTTCTAAATAGCTGCAGTGTTTTCAAATACCACTAGGAGCTGAATATTTCAATTAATGTGATTTCTCATTTAGTTTTTTTTCATCTATTTTCTAACATCTTTATCCAATTCAAGGTAGCCTTGGAACTGGAGCCCATCCCAGCAAGCAATAAGCACAGGACAGGATATACCCTGAACAGGACACCAGTCCATTGCAGACTTTTTCATTTTTTTGTATGGTTATGTACTGATTGTATAGCTACCAGAATTTTCTCTATCAGCTGAGTTTGTTTGAAATAACTCTGTGAAACATTTACTTTTTTATTTTCTTTTAGTGTTCATATCAGCTACAGGTTTTCCCCAGGTTTTTATGCATTTGTCTCTGAAAGTAGCCTTCATCGATGTTAGATGTTAATAGCTAATTATAGTTGATAATTTCAGGGTACATGAGATAAAATAGTAGTAATCTTAAATCAAAACAATAATAGATTAAAATGAAAATTTGGTAATAAGTGTTTGAAATCACATTAACCATCAAGTGTAGAGTATAAATTATTTAAATCAAACCAACATTTATCAACAGGAAAAACACTTCTTATTAGGCTAACCACAGTATGTTGTATGTTGTTTAGTTTAGATTTTTTCATTTCAAGTATAAATAATAATTTGGGGAGAAAAATCCTCTTTTTAGAATGTAATCTTTCCCACTCTAGGTGGCAGAAACTGTTCAGTGACTTCCATTCCACTTCTGACAGTAAAATGTATAGTATGTAATGCAGTTTCCTGCAAGCCATTTAATTTAGGTGTGCTCTTTGTGTTGTCTAACAATTTACTTTTTTTTATTTAGTGCAACAGATTAATATGTATGAATGTTCAGACAACTGTTACAAAAATTTGAAAGAAAGGAAAGAGGTTGAGGGTTTTCACTCTTTAAAGGGTAAATGAAAGATACTGTCTCTCAGAATACATTACAGTATTTCAACTTTTCTTGTGATCTGAATAAATAATTCTCCTTTAAGACCACATTTCGGATACTGTGATGAGATGTTTTTGCTATTGTTTTCTGATAGAAGACAATTTCTTTACTGAAAAGAAATATAAAATAAAAAAATAAAGTAAAATTACAGAAAACTGTTTCACTAGTGTAAATAAGTACCCATAAATTACATAACAGATTTTCCTATTTTCAAATCTGAAATTTGTCCCTGTGTACACATTATAATTTAACTAACGGATAACACATTTTCACGAGGAATGACGGCAGCCGAAAGCTTGGGAGAAATTAGAATAATTTATTGAGATGTGGAGATTTGGCGTAACCCGCTTGGCTGAGGGCCAACCTCCCGGCCGTTGGACGGGGAGGATAGGACCCCCATGCGACCAATGGGGTAGCTGCAAAGGTGGAGAGGGGGTGGAGGAGGGATGCAGAAAATGAATGAGGAAGAGGAGAGGGTGACGTTTGATATATATGGAGACCGGTTGCTTATGTCAGGATTAGTCAGAATTGCAGCAGCTGTGTCGAATGAGCTTGGCTGCTTTCATTCCTCCCGAACTTTCATTAAAAACTCCATTTCACGAGGAATGACAGGAGAAATTAGAATCATTTATTGAGATGTGGAGATTTGGCTTGGCTGAGGGCCAACCTCCCGGCTGTTGGACGGGGAGGATAGGACCCCCCAAAAGAACCAAGCGGGACCCCAGTCACCAGTGCAGAAAAATAAAAACAAAAACCAAATGATTATTAAACTAATTCAGCCGAGGAGAGAAAGTGCCTGCTTGAGGGTACCGGGGTTAGTTTTGATGTATTTGATAAGCCTCGGAGGACCAACGGCCGAGTTGCTTGATGAGATACTCGGGTATGCCTTGGTGAGCGGCAGAGGACACAGTCCCTGATCTGAAGGAGTGCCCGGGGAATTGTTCAGGGGGGTATCCGGTGGTTAGAAGGATGTCATAGAGGTGAGAGAGGAACCAGTTGCGGGTCACGATACGGCCCTTCTCGTTTACGAACAGAGGGTCAATAGGCAAAGCTCCGGCAGAGGTGCGAAGATGTACGTAATGGGATCGAGGCTCGTATGGGCTTACGTATGAACAGAGTTTGAAATAATAGATGAGAGTGCCGGACCCGAGTTGGTCGGTTTTGCTTTTCTTGAGATAGAAGGTCTGTGTATCGGAAGATAAGACGAAGATGTCGGATAAGCAGGGTTGAGAAGAAGGATCGAAGGATGTGGAAGCAGCAGTAATTTCAGAGCATCTTAGGAAGCCGAAGAAGGCTAACAAGAATAAAGATTTGAGAGTGCAGTCGACCCGAGTAACCCGACCTGAGAACACAGATGCAGGATTCGAGGATGTCCGAGGTAAGTGGTGCACGTTGGTTCGGAAGTGGTTTTTCAGGGCGCTGAAAGCCTTTAAGCAGGAGACTAATTTGAGGGTGGATAAGGGAGGGACAGGTCGTGCCGAAAAGGCGTTTATGGAAGAAGTGGATGCCGCACAGGTATACTTTGGTGGTGGATGCTCGTACCTTGAGTGAGTTTCTACAATAGCAAACGAAGGATGATACGGTGAGAATATCGAAAGAAGGGAATTTTATGTTTGTGGAGAGGTGGAAGGATTGGAAGCCCTTCCAGGCAGTCCAGTAAGAGTTGGGAGTTCAAAGGGGCAATCCCTAAGAGGAAAGTTTGCTGGGCCAGCTGGACGTAGTGATGGAAAGGATGATTCAGAGGAACGTGAGTTCCGAATAGGGAGGTACTGTGCATGGGTTCGGTCGTGCATCTGGTGCCAAGTTCCTGAATTTCTGAAATTGAAAGCGAGAGAGAGAGTCAGCTATCTCATTAAGGTGACCTGGAATGTGAGCAGCTACGAGGA